CAAAGAGAACAATACAAATTTTGCAAACTTACAAGAAAATCCTCACAAGGCAAGATGTTTGCACAATTCTAGAATAAAGAAAGAACACTCAAGAATAATACAATTAAGCACAATAAGTGTTCTTGAAAGAAAAAATGAATATTGAATGAAATAGGTTGAAAATGCTCAAACTTGAGGTTTGATGCTTTCTCTTTGATTCTTGTTGATTGTTGTTTCTTATTATTGATCAATGGCTTCTAAGCTTGTTTAAATACACCTTCAAATGATTTTGAATGTTGGGGATGATTAGTGGAGTCAATAGAGTCGTTTAATTGTGAAAAAAAATTAATTAAAGCAGTTGGGAGCGTCAGTGCATCAATGCATACTCTAGGTGCATCGGTGCATCAGTGTAAAATTCAAATATTTTGACCGTTGGACTCTCAGTGCATCGGTGCACTAAGAGTGCATCGATGCATAAATGCATTTGATGTTTTGAAAAGCCTGAGTGCATCGATGCATGGTCTTGTGCATCGATGCATGGTCTTGTGCATCGATGCATCAAATGCACTGAGTGCATCGATGCATGGTATGTGCATCGATGCATAAAATGCATTCGATGTTTGAAAAATTAATTGGTGCATCGATGCATGGATTGGTGCATCGGTGCATCACTTTGAAAAATTGATTTTAGGCTTGATTTTGGTTCAAAATACTTTGTGAAAATTGTTTCAAAAATAGTTTAAGTATAAAACACAATTTTACACATTTAGTAAGGTTTGAAATTGATCTTGAAAGACTTGGAGTAATAATTTGATATTCGAGTAATTAAATCGAATATAGTTAGAAAATCATTTGTGAAATCTTAAAATTCATTTAAACTTAATTTGTTATATCGAAACACAAAAATGTTTTCAACATGTTCTTTTAAAACTTGGAAAATATTTTCTCTCTGGTTGATGCTTACACTTCTATGAATATATATTTAGAATTGTTGCATGTCATAGCTCTAAACTCGATCTTTGTCCCGTTTCACCTAAGTAGGGGGAATGTTACACCTTATAGGAGCATTGTACTTCATTGTGTGGTTCTGATCAAGTACCTCAGAAAAGCATCCTAAGTGTTTGTCTGAATATCACTTTCAATGCATGCATTTAGTGGTGTGATCCCTTGTAATGAATTCGATTCGTAAGTCTGTAATGGGCCATAATCGAAGTCCTTATTAAACTTATAAAATTGTAAGGACTGTTTGGGAACACTTCTTAGAACCAAACCGTCATATAGAGAATCTAGTAAGTCCATCTCGCTAGAGCCATATGGATAACCTAAGAGAAATAGAACGCATGCTGTTAGGACTTTGAATTTATTTGTGTGTTTCACTTACCGTATTTATAATTTATTTATTGATTAAAGTTTTTGCTCTTCTTTGATTATTCCTTATACTAACTTGATTTCTTGTTTTCCTATTTCCCTTGCATGCTTCATTACATTACATTACAACAACAAAAAAGCCCAAATAAATCAACCCGACCTAAAACCCAAGATCAGGCCCGAATATGAGAACCCAAACCCGATTAAGGTTTATTCTCTATCCAGGGCCACCTTTATCTCCAACAATTGGATCTAGACCCATCCAATGGTCCAGATCACTCAAAAGATTAGGGGTTTAACCCTAGATGTTTATCACTGTCGCCATCTGACAGATATGGATAGTCTAATTGGCGCGTGAAGTACACACACTCAACCTGTTGATCTCCCCGCCGTGTGAGCCACAGCCGATGAGCCTCACCACCGCCTTCGTCACCAGTCTGGCCAAACAATGACAAAACCCAGTCAAAAATCAAGCAAATCAAAGACAAAAAAAACCTAATAAAAAATGAGAACAAATCCAAAATGAAATCCTAAGGCAAATCCGACCCTATCACAAGCCAAAAATAGAGTAATCATACCTTATATTCTCGGAAGCAATACAGATCTCACCAAGTCCAATATGCAAGATAAAAAGAAGATGAGTAAGGGGAGAAAAGGTCAGATTGGAACAAAGAGAAAACATTTCGAATAGAAAAAAGAGACAACAGAGAGAAAAACGGATAACAACAAAGAACAAAAAAAATGAAAGAAAAAATGAAACCTAAAGGAAATAGAGAGGAAACTTACCTTTTAGAGAGATCTGGTCGTCAGTAGCCCCATCGAAAATAAGAAAACCCACCACTGAAGGTAAAATCTTTTGTTTTTCTCGAATTTATAGGGTTTCGACAAGGTTGGCTTTGGGTTTAGGTATTTGAGGGGTCGGGTTTCAAAGGAAAAGAGAAAGGGAGACCAAGGGTTTGTTTTCGGTTCAGTTTCCCACGATATCGCCGTCGATTTACGGTGGTCGTGGCTTTCGTATCATTCTCCATAATGGAGAAATAGAGAGGAAGGGGAGAGTTGAAAGCTCTCTCTCTCTCTCTCTCTCTCTCTCTCTCTCTCCTCTCTTTCGGTTAAAGAAAAAGTGAGAAATGATAGGGGAATGGCCAGCTGAGGTTTAGTTTCGAACATATATTACATGTGAAATGACGTTGCTCTAGGAGGGGGTAGATGCGTATTTTTTGCGTTTGGGTAAACTATGTTCTGAGGCCTTTGAATTTTATAAACTTCTTTTATAGTCATTTATTGTAAATTAATTGTTTCGTATTTCAGGCCCCACATTTGTTAAAGTTGTATTATGTTTATTATGTATTTTTGCTGGTATTAGACATTGTCCTCTTTATTTCTGAAATTTATATTCTAATAAGTGTCTTCGTTTTTAGGTTAAATGCTAAATCATGGGTTTTCCTTTCATTCCTTTTTAGTCCTTATTTTAATGTACAAAAATGATAATTTATGCATTATGTCCTTAAGGTTAGTCTTGTATGTAGTTTAGTCCCATATCAAATCTATTTTAATCTATTGACATGTTTAGACCATGTTATGTTAATTAGATTTTTTTTAGACCTATTTTAAAATTATTCATGCAATGTTTTGGTACTTATAATATTCTGTCTTTAGGATCTTGTTTTTTATGCAATATGTATACATATTATTTAATAGATCTTTATTATTATAGCAAACTTTAATTAATTTATGCGTGCACTGTTTTGGTACTTATAGTATTCTGTTTTTTAGGATCTTGTTTTTTTATGCCATATGTATACATATTATTTAATAGATCTTTATGATTATAGCAAACTTTAATTAGTTTATGCATGCACTGTTTTGGTACTTATAATATTCTATTTTTTAGGATCTTGTTTTTTTATGCCATATGTATACATATTATTTAATAGATCTTTATTATTATAGCAAAGTTTAATTAGTTTATGACGTAGTAGCTAAACCTATATACTCATTAATTTTCTCAATGACGATATTTTCTTTTCTATATATATTTTACTTGAATATTCTCAAGAACTTTATTTGTAGAACGACGGTAGAAAACACCACTTTATTAAAGTGGTGTAATCCGATACGACGTTCAAACGGAATATAAACTTGAAAACACGAGCCTTTATGTATTTATTAAAATCATAGTTTTTTTATTTGATTTTTTATTTTCATAATGTTTTGTGTTATTTTAATTTTTTACTTTCATTTTGTTATATTTAATGTTAGTGTTAATGATGTAAATTTTAGAAAAATGAATCATATTTTGTTTTATGCAAAATTTCGATATTAATTTATTTTTTTAAAGTAATTCAAAGATAAAATAGTTTTTACAAATAAGAAATAGATGAGATAACTTTCCCGATGAAGGATTGCAAATCTTGAGATTTCTTGTCAAGTTAAAGTATTTTCTTTATTTAATCAATTTGGAGTAAATTAATTAATATTCAATAAATTGATCATAATTTAATTTTCTATTTGAATTTTAATTTTCACAATTTACGACGATGTGTAAGCAACTAAGTATAAATTTTTGGACGTTTTGGGGGTGCTTATCATTCCCTACGTGTAATCTACTTCTGAACCCTCAAAAATAATTTTTTGGATAATGTAGACCAATTTTTGTCTTAAAAATAATTTTTCTTAAAATTATTTTAAAAGACGTTTTTAGTTATTCGAACTACCTAACCCAAAGGTTGATAGCCACTCCCATTCAATTTAATTCAAAATCCCAATTTTGCAAATAAAGTCATGTTTTTTTAAACTTAATTATTTATTTAAAAATGGTTACGACAAAAGTATAAGGGCCTATCTAAGTTATGTGGTAGTTAGGAGTTTGTTTTGTTGATTATGATCTTAATATGGCCTCTGATATTTTTCACATCGAAAAAACTATAATTTTCCAAATTTCAAATTGATTGAAAGGTTAAGAATATAGTTGGAACGGTAGCTGCCAATGCAACCATTATCAGAGGAGAGCCGTCACTATCGTTCACCTATGGAGTATTTTGCGGATACGAAACCATGCACATCGCCATTGTTTAGAGATGTAAATGAAATGAGATATATAGTGAGTTATTTGATAATTATTCAGTTAAAGCTCAATAAATATCAAGCTCAACTCAAGTTCTTAACGAGCCGAAATAAATTATTTAATACTCGACTCGAAAAGCTTACGAGCACCTCGAAAAAAATATATATTAAAATTTTATTTTTTATGAAAAATAAATTATTAATAATACGAATGTTTATGTGTTTATTTTTTTTAAATGTAGTAGAAGGTTTTCATGTATTTAATGTTCAAGTTTGAGTTCGAGTTTGAGTTCGAGTTTGAGCTTTAATCGAGTTAAGTTCAAGATTGTTTCTATTCCTAGTTTTTTTCGAACTTCAATTCATATTTTTGATTTTGAATCGAACTTAAAAATTTTAAAATCGTGAATTTTCAAGTCAAGTTGAATTTAATTTTAAATTTTTGAATCGACTCAAGCTCAAAAATACTCGAATTTGACTCGACTAGTTTACAATATTACCATTGTTATAAAGCCGTTTTATTTCTTTACACCAAACACTTTTGGATACTATAAATTGGGTGGCATTTAACACTTGCAAAATAAGCACTAAAATAAGTATTAAGCAGCGACGTTAGCAACGAAAGTAGATCCTATGGAAGGGCAGTCTTTCAGTGTTACAAAAGGTACATGGACCGAGGAAGAAGACACCCTTCTCAAGAAATGCATCCGGAAACATGGAGAAGGAAAATGGCATCAAGTGCCTTCCAAAGCTGGTAAATAAAATCATTCAGATTTTTTTTATATATTTAAAAAGAGAGATTATTTGTTTTTGATGAAAGATGATGAGCCTGAAAAAGAAAATGAAAAAGTGCAGGATTGAATCGTTGCCGGAAGAGCTGTAGACTGAGGTGGTTGAATTATCTGAACCCTAACATCAATAAAGGAGCTTTCGCCGCCGATGAAGTTGACCTCATCATTCGCCTCCATAACCTCCTCGGTAACAGGTACGTCATTCATTGTATCGATATTTTCCTTATAATCTGAGTAATTCTTCTAATTTAAGATAATATTTTTTTGGGTGTTAATTGAAAATGTTATAAAGAAAGTAACAATTTAGGTTAAACTGAAAATATTAAGTAAAAAGTTAATATTTTAGATTGTACCCAATTGAAAAATATTATTTTTTAATATTTTCGGTTACTTTCATTTTATAACATTCTTTAACCTTAATTTTTTTTTATAGAAATAACTAATTTTATTCAAACTAGGAAATATCACAAATTACAATAAAGATTTACAATTACAATTGTAAATTAAACACATAATTAGAAAAATTTTCTATAATCATTGAAACAAAACTAGTAATTTAACTATACAAAGAATATTAAATCTAACAAAGAAATTTAAACAAAGATAGATACAAACAAATCTGATCGCATCGTCAAACGGACCACAAAAATGATCAAGCTATTAAAAAACCACCGACAAACCGTAAATCAGACTCGAGCGACGTGAAAAGCTATGCACGAACGCAAATCAGGTATCCAAATCCAATCTGATGGTCCAAAGCAAGGAAAATCACAAGATATCATATAAGCGCAATCTTTATCAATCGTAGCGATATTAAATCAACTCTTAGAAAAAAGATAAATAAAAATGGACAAAGGACCGAAAATTTGCCAAAAAACATAAGAAAACGTGCCATAAGTGCATATGAAAACATGTAACACATGCAAACTTATTGAAAAATCAAAAAACAAAAGAAAATAAAGAAATGATATAGAAAAGAAAAAGAAAATAAAGAATACAGGTGGTCGACAACCAACATTAAAGTTAGTACCGTCATCGATTAACAAAATGAAAAAGAAAAGAGATGAACGATACATCAACGAAAAAACTAGGTTTTTAGGGTTTTTCAAACACATATTTTAACAATTTAATGAATAAGCTAATTTTATAATAAACCTTAAATTAATTTGTCATTTCTCTGACTTTCTCTATAATCTTCGAGTTTGACGCACACCAAGTTTCAAGTCCAAGGATATCCCTATCTAAGTGGATTTTTATTTTATGGAATTTAAAATTATTTTTTAATCCAAAGATATATAATATATTTATTTTACATAATTGTTTATTTTAATTCAAAAGGCTAAAATTTTAAAATTTAAATGAATCTTAAAATATGAGATAGTAAATCTAAACTTTAAATTTTAAATCTCAAATTCTAAATAAAACACATAATATTGATAAATATATTTATGTAAATTAAAATTTACACATCATGTATCAAATAATTTCCCTTAAAAATGATAACATATATAAAAATACAATATCATCACAAATTTTAAAATCAAATACATTACTAATGAATAAGAATATTTTATGAACTCATTCTGTGGTCTTAATGATTAAATGAAATACTATTATTTTACAACGTCTTGAGTTTAAACAGTTGCATCTACATTTGTAATCACTTTTTAAATTTTATTTATGACATTAGCAGTTTTTTTTGTCGCATGAACAAAAAAAAACGCTTCTCATGAAACATGTCTTAGAAAGCGCTTCTTACCGAAATCACCTTTTACTCACGTAGTAAATGACGGTAAAAAGTGTATTTCATCAATTGCACCTTTCTAAAATGAAAAAAGTAAAATTATAGGGACTAAAATAGTAATTTGATTTCATAAATTAAAAAACAATTGATGTTAATTTATTTATATAAACAGAATTCAAGCGTTAGTCTTTGATTCTTATCAATGAGATTCAAGAGTTAAACAGTTTCCTCTGATTTTTTTTTAATATGATCTCTACTTTTGTTATATTTACTTGATCTCACTTGATTGAAATTTACTACTATAATATAAGTTATGTTTATATAAGTTAAAATTAAATATTTTGATATTCTAAAATATTTAAATACTTAATTTTATAAATTATAAATAAAATTCTATTTAGAAACTTTTAAATATTTCCAAAATATAAATAATTTCTTTTGAAAATTGAAAAAAGAGAGTGGATGTTTATCAAATAAATTGATTTGAAACTTAATTTCCTTTATGTAAATTTAAAGTTTTAAAGCTAGTCTTCTATTTTGTAATCAATTGAAAATCTATATTTTGTAGTTTAATTTTTATTGTGCAGCTTACTTTAATAATGCATCATGTTCATTTAATCTATCTGTTTACTATTAAACATTTCAATAAGATATGTTAACCAAATTATCTAAATAATTAAAATATTTATAGTTAAGACTTGGATACTAAACATTGTTCAAGTCAATTACCACATTATTTTATACAAATGTTTAAATGTTATAATATTCCATAATAAGTTATTATAATACAATCATATATTTTCTTATGAAGAATAAAAAGATCTAATGAATTTAATTTTTGACAAATTCATTTTTGTTAGAAATCAATATTTTTAATATTTGTTGTGTATATATAACAATTCACTTTTTTGAAATAAAATTCAATTTAAGTTATAGATAATTTTCTTAATCTCGAGCACCATTTTGTGTGATTTTGTGAAAAATAATTTACTATATAATATAAAATTATTTATTTGATCTTAGTTTAATTTCTTTATTCTCATCAAAATATTTTTTAACAAAGTTTAATCAATTATTTATAAAATTAACTATTTAAATATTTTAGTATATCAAAATATTTAATTTTAATTTATATGAATATAATTTAAACTTTAATAGTAAATTTCAGTCAAGTAAAATTCAGTAACAGAGTATGAGTCAATTTACCATGATTTAACATATATGCATAAACAAAAGATATCATATCAAAAAATTTAGAAGAAAACTCTTTAGCCATTAAATCCCACATTGATAAAAAAAAAGGTTAATACTTAAATTATGCTTATATAAACTAACGTCAACAATTTGTTTTTCAATTTATATTGGTACATGTAATTTTATTTTTTAAGACAATTTGAAAAAAACAGAAGTATGAGATATAATTACAGTTACGCGTAATACATATTTAGTAAATCAGAATTAAAAAGAATTATTATAATATATAATTGAACTAATCATCTGAATATATACAATTGAACTAATAATATGAAAATAATCTGAATATTCTTAAAATCAAATTAAAATAGAATTGAATTAATAATTTAAATATATTTAAAACCAAACTAAAATAGTTTAAAAAAAGAATTTGTAAATTTATTTATACATAATTTATAGATTTACAATTTATATTTTAATTTGATTAATTTTTATTTTATATATTATAAAATTTAGAATTTTAATTTTAATTTAAAACAATAAAAATAAATTATTTAAATTATTAAATTAAAATATATAAACTAAATTTACAAGTTGATCTGCCCCCTCCCCCCACTCGAAAGCCATTTTCACGACTTTGTCAGTGCATTAATGGTGTAATCCAAGAAAATGTACTATATTATCTTTTCTGTTCGTGAGTTAATTAAAACATTTATGTTATCAATTATTTAAATATTCAAACATTATATTTATTTAATATTATCGAAAGTCATGAACCGACGTCAACATTTGTTACAAGTGTAAAAATTCTTTTGTTATAATTTAGACACAATATTCAAATATTGAATGTAATGTCTTAATTTCTCCATTGTATCGAAAGATAATGTTAAATCATTAAGAGTTTAATAAATGGTATATAGATGCATGGAAGTATCATTCGTTTTCTAACATAAATAGCAATCGCAGGTGGTCGTTGATCGCCGGTAGATTACCCGGAAGAACAGCAAACGATGTGAAAAACTATTGGAACTCCCACTTGCTGAAAAACAAGGTGGATGCTTCCTCCAACTCAAACCCTCTAAATCCATTGAAATCTATTACTCGAGTCTTCAGACCTCGCCCTCACATCTTATCAAGGAATAATTTCCCAATAATCTTGGACGAAAACAAGAAAAACAACGCGGCGGCAGCAGCGACACCAGCAAGCTACAATATTTTAGAATCGGCTAACATCGGCAACAACAATAGTTACTGTTTCCCTAATGAGAATGACGAGATGTTGTGGTGGGAAAATCTGATGATGAATGAGAATGAGTTTGATTATCAACAGCAACAACGTTCCATCAATAACATCAATCAAAGTGTGCTGTGGGGCCAGCCTATGAATAAAGAAATGGAGGTTGAGGAAGAAAAATATGGTAGTTTTGATGAGCTTTATCTCGATGTGGAACTCTGGAATGAGCTCAACCCATAGTCACAAATATCATTTGTATTTATACGTATTTTATTTTCTTCTTTTGTTGTTCATTAGGTGGCTGTTTTTTTTTCTTTGATGTGATGACAACGGAAGTGACAATAAAAACTCTGTTAGCGAAAGAGAGACAATAAAAATGTGGGACTTTATACATGATTTACTCCATAAACAAGATTAAAAAGGCTCGTGTTCACCCGCTCCCTATATGTTAAGGGTAGATGTTTCATTTATTTTCGGAATTTCACCATTTAAGGTAGATGAGAATGACTTTGCATGCAATGTTATATGAGTGATATTGCATCATTCAGAATGATCTAATTACTATTTAAGTTGGTGAAAGAAAATCATTCATGGGCTAAAACCTTTTTTAGAATCAAGTCTATATGTTTGATGTGGAAGCAAATTCGTGCTGATTTAAATAAGTTTTGATCCTTGAAATGTTCTCTGAGGAGATGAAGTTGACATCGGTCGTTTTAGATTAGGTAAACCTAAATACCTTCAAACTTGTTATACGTCTAACACTAGGATCAAAATGGGATACATGAGTTGGTTAAGTGTGAGAAAAGTTAGAGCAACCTCACCGAGCCCAAAACTTCATACCTTTACATTTTCTTAGAGAAAAAAATGACTATAAGGATGGAGTTAGTAAAGTAACGAGGAACAAATGTGTAAAAACAAACATGCTTGAAATTTAACTTAGAATCTTGTTAAAAATATTGGGTTAGGATTTTACTGAAAAAGACTAAATTTTATTAGATGTTGGAAAATATGAATGCTAAAAAATATTATCTTTAGCATTGACTAGCAAATAATAAAATAATAAAATGAAATAGGATGATTATTATATTGTGGTAGAAGCCACTATCTTAAAAGTAATTTTGTCTGAATTAATGTAATCTCGAAAGAGGAAGTTGCCTTCAAGATTAGCATAGTCTTTCAAACTTCGTACACCCGAAGTGAGAAAGCGGAATACACTTGTGTTACTTTGTTTGATAAGAAACTTATGAGAAAGAAAAGAAAAAAAAAGAACTATCAAATTGTGTGTTTCAATTAAGATGGACTATCCTTTTTATAGGTGTGATATAAAGGTAAAATTGTCGAATGACACCGGTTCATTCTAATCACTCCCTAAATATAGATAACTCACTCCCCACTATTTGCATTACTCACAATCCCTCACTATTACAAATAAGTAGAGAGTTTTAAATGCGAGAATAAAGCAACAACAAAAATTAGCTAATTAAGTACTAGTGAACGTATCTAGAACTAATACATAATGAAATTAGTAATTTTTCTCTTAACAAGTGAACGAATTTGGAACTTGTTCAAATAAGAGTAAACTAACAACACATGATTACCTTTTTCACTAAGTGGATTCCGTGAAAGACCAACAAATTTAGCTAATATACATTGAAATGATGGTAAGTGCTTTAGAAAGATCGCCTAAAGTATTTCTTAGAAGGTGGCTAATCCTTCACACTTATTTAGGCGATTTCATCAAGTCTATCTCAATATAAACTACCCAAATTAGAGATATAAAATCACTAAGAGCATTTAGAAAGATCAACCTTCCAAATTTAAGATTAAGTGAATTCATCAAGTCCGTCTCACAATAACAATATTATAAAAAAATTTATGCTTCGATTATGATATAGATTTAATTTTTTAATTTTTTAATTTTTAAAGGAATATTAATAACAAATTTATTATTATAGTTTAATTTTAAAGAAAGTTAAAAGGTTTTTGGCTAGATTTATTGAGTTTTGGATATTTTCAGTAACACATACACTAGATTCGTAGTCAAAATGTCAGAAAAGGAATGAATTATAAATTTTGGGGGTCTAAAAATAAAAAGTGATCAATAGCGAGGGTGGTGAGTTGTGCCAGCGACAAGAGACTTTATATGAATTCAAGGATCAAATTGATATTTCATCTAAAGTTTAGAGGTCAAAATGGCACTTTATCTAAATTTCAAGGTCTATTATATCTAAAGTTTAGGGGTAAAAGTAAAAATTAATTCCTTTTAACTAACATGTCATGTCATTAAACTAACGAGAGATAATGATTCAGTGACCAAAATATAACAATCAATAACATAAGTGACCAAAATTTAATAAATTGATAACATAAGTGACCAAAAATTAAGTTTTTTTTATTTGGTTGGTAAAAGTATAAAAATGTTAAAAAATGATCAATTCATTAATTTACCTTAAAAAATATAAATCTCACTATTATATATAGGGTTAGGATCCACTTACACTATATAAACCTAACCCTATATAAAACTCATAAGTTTTACACTAATTTATAGCATTATATTTAAATAAATAAATAAATGACTTAGATTTATTAAAATTTATAACTCATAAATAAATATTCTTTTAACTTATAGTAAAATAATATTTTTTAGGGTTAAAGTTTAGGATTTAAGGTTTAAGATATAAAGTTTAGAGTTTAAGGTTTATAATTTGAGGTTTGTGATTTGGGTTTTATAGTTTAAGATTTAAGGTTTGAGGTCTGAGTTTTAAGGTTTGGGATTTTGGAGTTCGGGGGTTTGAGATTTGATATCATGTTAAAAAGTGATTGTTCTAGTGTTAGTTAAAAGATATTTATTTGCGGGATATAAATTTTAATTAAATTAAATACATTTATTTATTTATTTATTTATTTAAATCTAATGACTATAAATTATTGTAAAGCTTATTCATTTTAAATAAATAAATGGTTTAAATTTAATTAAAATTTATAACTCAATTTTTTAACTCACAGTAACACAATATCTCTTTTTTTATTTCAATCCCTAAATGTAAACCTAAACTATAAATCTTAAACCCCAAATCATAAACACTAAACCTAAAGCTTAAATATTAAATCCTAACCCTAAAAAGAAAAATATTATTTTACTGTGAGTTAAAAGATATTTATTTATGTGTTATAAATTTTAATTAAATCTAAACCGTTTATTTATTTAAATCAAAGAAAGAGAAGCAACATTATAGTAAAACTGGTCAAAGACCAAGACAGAATGGGCCAACTCAAACTAACCACACAAAACTCAAACTAACCACACAAGGCTCAAACAAAGCCTAATCCTAAAACAAAAGGCAAACAAAATATTTATAAACTTTCCTTACGATTAGGGATCAACATAGGATTCGAACTCCGATGGGTTTCGACCTGGTCCGATATGATTGCATCGGTTTTTTAATTTCAAATTTGTTTCGAGCCAGGTTTAAAGTAAAAAATTTATAACCCGACCTGACTTAAAAAAATAATATAATTATATCTTATATTTAGAAATAATTAAAATAATACCCTATTTATATTATTTTTAATCAAGACCATTTTTAATTGAATAAAATTAATAATTTTGTATTATTTTGGTTCGGGTAGGTTCGAACTGAGGTTTTCTCTTAAAAGTCGGTTTACATTTTGAATCCAGTAAAATACCCTAAACTCGGGTCGGGTTGGGTTTCGGTGGAGGGTATAAAAATTTTCAAGTCATGTCGGGTTGATCAAAAACTCGACCTGTAACACCCTAATCCGATCAGACCTGAATCTCAGAGGATTAACATGTCACACGAAAATCGTCGGAGTGGTTATCCATTTTAAAAAAAACATTCATCATTTCCATAAAATTCACCAAAATTAATACATTCCTAAAATAACAATTTAAACAAAAGTGGGGAGCTCCCAATAGTACACCCCAAAATACATACGTTTAAAAAAATAGAGTTTACGACTCAAAATAAATAATGGTTTTTGACAGTACATGCCCACTATAAATACTCGAGATGTACTCTTAAGAACATGCATATAGAAACACATTTCGAATGTTGAGTTTACAAGCTCAGTGCCCAGTGGCAGATCTAGAAATTAAAAAATGCGGTCCAAAATTTTAATACCTTATTCAAAAAAAAATTAGGTATGCAAATTTTCTTATTTTTTTTTTCTATTTCTATTAACAAATTAAACTAAATTTATCATTTTTCTCAAAATAATGGGTGTGCAATGGCTCCCATAGGGAGCCATGTACATCCACCCCTGTCAGTGCCACACAAATAACACATAGCATCATGGTGATCATGATACAAGTATAATCATAAACAAGAAAGAATATTCAACACACAACAATAGTAAACATCATGGTGTAGTTCAGGATCACATAGCATCATGGAGCTCACATCCTTATTTGCATACTAAGGGTACTTCAGACAAGATATGGGTCACACAATGTCAACATCTTCCAAGTACCCTAAGCAAGGTCCAAGTCACATAACATCGACACCTTACTTAGCTAGTCTACTTGTAACGCCCCAGATCCCGGGTTGGGTAACCCGAGATGGGCCTTATTTTAATTCTTAGGTTATAGGAAGCTTTGACCTAAGTTGAAATGGTTTTGGGCTATGATTAAGCCTAATAGAGAGTGAAAATGGTAAATTTAGTTTGTAGAGCAAATCAGGGGACCAAGGAAGGAATTATACCATTTAGCAATCAAAAGCTAAAATCTTTAATTTCTTGGTGAGATCATGTTTGGAGACTTCTATTTTCTCAACTCATTCTTGTCTTCTTCTCTTAAGCATTCTTCATCTTCTCATTTAGCTTCCTAAGTGAAAGATGGGAACTTTACTTCCTTCTAAGATTTTCCCAATAGAATCAAGGTAAGAAATGAACTCATATTTTTATAAGCTTTAATTTAAGCCCCCAAACTTAAGGTTTGGTCATTGTTTTCAAGAAATGAGTTTTATTGGGTTTTAAGAGATTTCAAGATTTTGGCCCATTTTTCATAATCTTTCGTCTTAGGAAGTGTTCTTATTACATTTTGAACCATTGAAATTAGCTAATAACCTCTACAATAATTCTTGTCTGGTGAGAGAAGTTGGTGAAAGCTCTCAAGCAAAGGGGAATGAGAAACTCACCTTAGGTTGACCTTTCATAGTTTCTAGATGACTCACTTCTAACCTAACTATACCTAACCTAACTATACCATATGCAGCTCGTTTAGATGAGGTTTGCTA